GTGTTTCACTTCCTTCTTCATTTCAGCCCAAGTAGTCTTCAATATTTCTAACTCTTTACTGAGTTCATTCAAAAGTTTATCCCTTTCTTCCTTCAGTTGTTTGATTTCTTTGTTTGTGTGTTCTTTAAATTCACTGAATTCTTTTATCATGTTTATTATTGTTCTTTTGAGTTCCATGTACTGTATTATCTCTAGGGGGTTCTCATTGTACTCCTCTTGAGAACTATTGGTATTTGGTGGGGATATGTTGCTTTGGTTTTTCATGTTATTATTTTTTCTCTGTTATCTTTGTGGATTTATTTTGTAGTTTCTGACTCTTGTGTGATACTCGGGCCTTCAAGTTTAGTTTTTCTTTTTTTTTTTGAACTTTATGTGTCTTTGCGGTTTACTTTTGGGGCATGAAAAGCTGGTTCCTCTAATTTTGATTTTATATTGGAGTGGATAGATTGCTTTTGTCTTCAGGAGTTCCCACAGAGGCCCAATTCAGATGAGGATCAGATGGTCTCAGACTTTCTCCTAAGGTCTGGATCCCTCCAGGAGATTTTGGCCTCAGGAATTTGGGAGTTGGACTGGCCTGGGAGCCAAGCCCAGGAAAGATGCTGGTCTAGGGCAGCTGGTGGCCATGCCACCCAGAGATGCAAAGGCAGATGAGGGCGGGAAGTGCCCCCAAGGTCTCCTGGGGACTGCACTGAGGATCTGGGTTGGTCTGGATGCAAATGATCAGGAAGAGGAAAGGTCAGCCCCAGCTTCCAGGAAAGAGGCTCGATGGTGGTGTAGGCCCAGGGAAGTAGATGGAGGTGAGGGCGGGGCCAGGCCCAGAGTGCCCCTGGAGACCCAAGAAAGCACTGAGTTGGTCTGGATGTAAAGGATCAGGAAGCAGTGGTGGTTCCCTGGGTGTGTGGGGCCCCAAGACAAGGAATGGGACAGAGCCCAGGCTAGGAAGAGAGTCCAGCTGGGGAGATGGGAGGGTAAATGAGGCTGGGCGAGTCATGGCACGGAGGGCACCATGGACTTATCCTGGAGAGAGGCCTGCAGGTCAGAGAGAGCTCTTCTAGTTTCTTTTCTAAGACAGGATTTACTTGGTTGGTGGGCAGTCTCTTATATTAGTCAGACTGGGGTATGCTATGAAAATGACTCCCACAGACAATCTTGACAGGTTTCTTGCAGGAATACCTGGGATTTGGAGTGGGAATGGACATTGTATTTGCACTCCTGGGTTCTGGGTTTCCTTATACTGGGACCATTGTGTGATGATCCCAGAGAACCGCCAAGTCTTTTCTGTCTGTGTGGTGCTGGGGGATGGAACCGTAGCTGGCCCATGCTAAGCAAGTGCTCAACTCCTGAGCTAAGTTCCCAGCCATTCCCACATGTCTTCTGAAGGACTCTCCTCTGCATGCAAACCTCCAAAGGCAGTTACTTCCTGGTACACAGCCCACTGATGGCTGTCCTGGCACTGACCCCTTGGCTAGGTAACATAATTATAGTACCTTATAAACAGTGGATCCTTACCAAGAGCCAAGCATCCTCCTAGGACTGTTTTCTTTTTTGAGACAGGATCTCCCTGTAGCCTCAGCTGTCCTGGAACTCACTATGTAGACCATGCTGGCCTTGATCTCACAGAGATCTGTCTGCTTCTGCCTCCTGAGTGCTGGGATTAAAGATGTGTATCACCATGCTTGGCCTAGGACTTTTTCTTAAGCATACCATTGAATCTTTACAATAACCCTAGGATTTTGACTCCCATTTTACAGATAAGGAAATTGAGGCTCAGAGGAAAGCTCCTTCCTCATGTTTAGATCTAATAAATGGAAGAACTGGGATTTGTGCCTGGTTGGTCCCTCTATTCTTAACCAGTGCTCAACCACAGCCAGGTAGTGGTTCCACCCCTGAGTACAAGATATAAGCCACTGTGGCCTATGAAGAAAAGAACCTGTTGTTCTCATTACAAAGAAGGGAGTGTCATATGTGTGTGACTTGGACTTCTCAGAGCTTGGGCACTGAGTTTAAATAGAAGGGGCATCCCAAGGCTTATGCCGTAGTGCTAGAAAGTGGGGTCTCATCTGCTTTCCTTTACTAACTGAAGTGGGATATTCATCAGGGTTTTCTGAGAAACAGAATACACACACACACACACACACACAAATGGGCTTGCAATGGTGTTATGTCACAATAAACCCATTGGTTGGAAATGTATTTAACACGTGAACCTACTGACCGGCAAAGCTTAACAACACAGTCCACTGGAGTGTCAGTTGTCTGCCTTTGTGATTGTGTAGCTAATTGGGAACTATTACTTGCTGCCTGCTGCCCACATTTTGATGGCGGCTAACTTAAGAAAAGATCAAAATGCAAACTCTGAAGTTTGGTTTCTGCTAAATGCGTATCACTCCACTGTAAAGTTGAAAACTTGTAAGGTACCACTGTGAGTGATAGTCCATGCATGTGTGCACCATGCATGTGTTTGCCTTTCCAAAGAACAAGATGAATCTAAACCAGTTCAGCTCCTGGACGTTTTGGAACTATTTTCCCAGGTCCTGGCACATTCTCTTTGGTGGTTAAACTCATGCTTTGTTTGCCTTCAGGACCTGTTTGAGGCTGGAGAGAAGAAATGGGGAACAGATGAGGTGAAATTCCTAAGTGTCCTTTGCTCCCGGAACCGGAACCATCTGCTGCACGGTGAGAGCTCACCTCTTTTCCCAGAGGAACTGTGTAAAAAGACACTGTGTTGCCAGAAAGATCGACGACCTTGTCCCCACCATGGTGCAGAAAATGAACTAAACTGCAAGTTTCTTACCTTGGAAATGTATAAATCAGATGATGTGAATGAGAGCCAGTTTTTGAAATTAATGAGGAACAGCTAGCATGGATTTCTAAGAGTTTATCATTTTGGTTCCTAGGAAACCAACCTTCAGGGTCAGCCCTTTCTCTCATGCAGCCCCAAGACTTCCATTTTCATTTACTTACTTAAGAAAGTAGGGGGCTGGAGAGATGGCTCAGCAGTTAAGAACACTGGTTGTTCTTGCAGAAGACCCAGGTTTGAATCCCAGTACCCACATGGCAGCTAACAACTGTCCGTAACTCCAGTCCCAGGGGATCCAACAGCCTCTTCTGACCTCTGTGGGCATTGCACGACATGGGTGCACTTACCTACATGCAGGCAATACATAAATACACATAAAATAAACATACTAGTAATTTTTTTTTAAAAAAAGAAAATAACCTTCAGCTCTTCAGGGAGCAATAAAATAGCAATGCTGGTTGGTATTTCTGTTTACCACCCAACCTGTGAACCTGATAGAAGTGCTTTCTTCAGGGGTTATATTATGTGAGATGAATGGTGGGTAATTCACTTTTTATTTCCTATGTGTCATGTTTCTAATTCGTATCTGGTAATTCTAAACTTTGCAATATGCTTTTAACTTCTTTGGGGAAAGCCTATAGCATTATAGAATATTTGTTGTCAGGCATAGTCTTCTTGTAAACAACAGTAAAGACTTAATAGGACATTTCATCTTTTATAAAGCTCTTTAGACCTTCATGGACTTTGTAATTCTATAACCACCATATTCCTACCATATTCACGGAGTTACAAAGCTTGTGGAAAATTCGAGCATGAGTTTGTTAATTGAAAATATAGCGTAACTGCAAAGTCTGACACATTTAGAAGTTGTAATTATCCCAGATATTCCTCAGGCAAAGAGTAAGCAGTTATTCCTGTTCATAAACATCATGGGTCAGGATCAGATGCAGGGAGTTGGGGCTTAGCCCCCTTTCCCAGGCTCCTCTTGCCTAATTACAGTGTGAGTCTCCCCCTGGTGGCATGTTCCTGTAATTGCAGATCCTCAGAAGCTTTAATTTTCACTTCCAAGCATGCCACAGTCGGGCAGTTATGAGACAAAATTTTAAGCGCTATTTGGATCATGAAAATTTAATAATCTTGTTTCCAACAAACAATAATGGCTAAAACTAATATTTTTTAATGATTTTCTGTCTTCAAGATAGAACTATGCAGAGCTGAGCACAGTTTAAGCATTGTTTCTTGTAACAGGTCAATGGAATGAGTCATTATTTTCCTCCAGTTTACAGTGGAGAGAACTGAGGCTTAGAAAGTATGCTGCTAAGGTTCTTTGATTCTGGGCAAATATACACTGACAAGAAGGAAAATGGAAAATAATGGTGGCTTCCAAGATTGAAGGGTGCACCGAATCCCTTCAGAAAGAAATCCTGATGTTTCTGGGGAACCTCCCTAGGAGGAAGAAAAAAGCTGGGTGCAGCAGCATGCACCTGTAATCCTAGGCTGGAAAGGCAGTCACTGGGGCTTGCAGGCTGACAGTCTGGCAGGTTCGTGAGAAACTATCTAAAAAAATGAGGCAGTGGGCTAGGGAGATGGCTCAGTGGGTGAGTGCTTACTGTGCAAGCATGAGTACCCATTTTCAAACCCCCAGCTCCCACATAAAACAGCCAGGTGTGGTGGCACACACCTTCAATCCCAGCACTCTGGAGGCAGAAGCAGGTGGATCTCTGTGAGATAATGGCCAGCCTGATCTACATATTGAGTTCCAGGCCAGCCAGCTGGGACTACAGGAAAACCCTATCTCAAGAAACAAAGCAAGGGGCTGGAGAGATAGCTCAGTGTTAAGAGCACTGGCTGTTCTTGCAGAAGACCTGGGTTCAAATCCCAGCACCCGCATGGCAGCTAACAATTCATAACTCCTGTTCCAGGGTATCTGATGCCCCTCTTCTGCCCTCTGTGGGCATTACATGACACAGGTGCACTTGCATACATGTACACAATACATGCTTACACATAAAATAAAATAAAGCAAAAAAAATCGGTTAAAAAAAAAAGAAACAATGAAAAATCCAGGCATGGCTGCATGTGCCTATAAGCCCAGCACTGGAGGGCAAAGACCAGACTACCTGAAATGGCAAGTTTCCAGTTCAGTAAGCAACCCTGTCTTAAGGCAGTAAGGTAGAGAGTGATAGAGGAGGATATCCGACATCCTTCTCTGTTCCCTGGCAGGCAGGCACACCGGCATACTCACATGCATGCAGCACACATATACAAAATAAATTATTAAACTTAAATTTAAAAAATAAAGTGGACAGCGAATGAAGTCCTGAGACTTCAATTACAGGTTTCTATGTGCATGCATACACATGCATGTATGCATAAATTTAACAAGAAAACCTCCCAGGAGGGCGGGTCTGAGGATCTTACCAGATCTTATGCTTATGCATACAGAGCTTATGCTTATGTTGCTGGGCATTGACTGACAGCCTGTGAGAATCACACAGATGGGGACAAGACAGTATGCTAGAAGTGATTAAAGAGATAAGTGAAACAGTTATCTGCTCCAAGAAGGCTCCAGAAAGAGAAAAAAACATTCACACATTAAAAAATACTTGACAAAAAAATTTAATTATGTGGCACTCCATTAAAAGATGCAACTGGCTGTTACCAGATGTGACTCAGTTTTGAGGAGGCTGAATTGCTCTCATTTTAATGAGTCAAAAGGAAGAGTCCAAAATGACACATTCTGCTTAAGGAAGCAAATGTCCTGAAAGGCTGTCTCAACTTGACATGTGAGGACTAGGGTCCTGGATGGTGTAGGGACTTGCCTGATATCCTTCAGGAATCCTAGCACCCTTCTTCCTGGAGTGGCCCCATCCTGCCTTTTCCTCTCCCACAGTGGTTTCCTTGAAATTTGCCAAAGAATTGAGTAGTGCAAGCACATTAAAATATACTCACTCTCCATAAATTTTAGTTCCTTGTATTTTGAATTTTTATTATATATATGTGTATATATATTATATATATATATATAGTGTGTGTGTGTGTGTGTGTGTGCGTGTGTGTACAAATGCTACTTGTGGAGGTCAGAGGACAGCTTGTGGGAGATAGTCCTTTCCTTCCACCATGTGGGTCCTTGGAATCAAACTCAAGTGCTTACCTTGGTGGCAAGTGCCTTTCTTTACCCTCTAAGCCATCTCACCGGCCCAGCTTTCTGTATTCTAAATCATACCATCTTGTTATTGCCTTTTGTAGTGTTTGATGAATACAAAAGGATATCACAGAAGGACATTGAACAGAGTATTAAATCTGAAACATCTGGTAGCTTTGAAGATGCCCTGCTGGCTATAGGTAAGCTGCTGAGCAACAGGGCCTTACTTTTCCTCCTCCTTACCCAGTTGCCATGGGGATACAGAATTGTGTTTTTCTGAAGCAAAAGTTATTTCAATCACTGAGGGTACATTCCAGAATTCTTCAAAAAATGGGTTCTCATTAAGTTTCCCGGGCTGGTCTGGAACTCCTGAGGTCAAGTCGTTCTCCCACCTTAGCCCCAAGTACCTGAGACTACAGCCACATGTCCACCATACCCAATGAATGTTTCAGAACTATTTTATTTTTTTGTTTGTTTTTGAAACAGAGTCATTCTATAGCCCCAGCTGGCTTTGAATTCATGGCAATCTTCCTCTCTTGGCCTCCTGGGTACTGGGATTACAGGCATGTGCTACCATACCTAGTTGTTCTACAGATTTAAGCAAAAAATATGTGTGAAGCCAGGTGTAGTGGTGTACACTTGAAATCCCAGCACTTAGGAGCTGGAGGCAGGAGGAGCAGAGTTCATTGTCATCCTCAGCTACATAGTGAGTTTGAGCAAGCTTGGGCTACATGAGACCTTGTCTGGAAAAAAAAAAAGAAAGAAAATATATATAACCTGACTGCTACTGTGCCATGTACCTTATATATCTTTTTCTGTGGTGCCCTTCTCTCTCATTATATGAGGAAGATAATGCTGTGATCACTGCATCTTGCAAATCTGTGAGTGGCAGGATTTAATAACTGTCTTATATGGCAGGTGTAATAGTTATTTTTGCACTATGTGCTACCCTTGATTCGGTGGCCTTTGTTGGTGACCTTGCCAGGGTCCCCATGATAAGCTGAGATCCTGTTCCTGTGAGAGAGGGCCTGGGGTGCAGGCTGTGTTCAGGAAGCAGTTTGGCTAAACTGTAGCTAGCAAAGCAGTCAGGAAATATCTCTTGGTATTTTGTAGAGAACTGTCATTTTTTCTTTTTAAAAAAAATGTCTTTTCTGTAATCTTTCCATTCTTTTTCTTTTTTATTAGAAGTAGAAATAAAGATAATTTAAGAAAAGGAAATCCCTGAGGATGGGAGAGGGTAGTGAGCAGGGGACAGGCCTATGCTAAACAAGCCTCTTTTCATTTCTTTCTGTTCATTTTTCTCACAGTAAAGTGCATGAGGAACAAACCTGCCTATTTTGCTGAAAGGCTTTATAAATCTATGAAGGTAAAAAGCTTTATTCTTATTGACACTTTGGCATATTGTTTGTCCCTCTTCTTAGGTTTGCTTATACCCCTCACCCAAGTTCTTCACTAAGTACTGCTGCCATGGGTACTGTGTGCTGTTGTCTGAGTACTTTGATGTGTGTGGATCCCTGCTCCCAGGGCTTCATATGTATGGATTAATTTTTAATCCCCACAACAGCTCTATGGAGCAGGAATTGTTCATCCCATTTACAAGTAGAGAAACTGAGGCATGGGGAAGATATACAGCTTAAGGTGCTTGGTGAGAGAGGAGTAGACCAAGAAGGTAACTCTAGCTTCAGAGTCATGTTCCCAGCTCTGCACTGGACTCTGCAAGCAGCTCTGCCAGTGGCTGGGGGCGGGGGCACAGGAGACAGGGAACTGTATCCTGGCTGTCTGTTGCTTTGAGACGGAGTCACATGTATCCCGGCTGGCCTAAAACTTGCTGTGTAGCTGAGAATGGCCTTAAACTCCTGATCCTCCTGTCTCAGCGTCCAAGTGCTGGGATTACAGGCCTGGGCTACTACATCTGGTGCAGAGTCTTGGCTCTTAAAGAGTGTCTGTCCTCATAGGGAAAGCAAGCAAGTGGAAACACCAAACATAAGACAGATTGTCAGACAATAGTTCAACATCTAAACGTCATAAGAACATGGAGGAAAGAATGAATTTTTTCACTATTTATTTGCAGGGAGGGATTTGAAAAGAATCTATAAGGAAGGTGGAGCCCAGGCATGGCACACATCTGCAATCCCAGCATTTAGGAGGCTGAGACAGGAGGATTGCCAAGTTTGCAGCCAATCAGGGCTGCATAGCAAGATCTTGTTTCAACAACAAACTAAAAAGGAAAGAAAAACAAACAAAAGGAAGTTCATATTTGGGGGGGCTGGAGAGATAGCTCAGTGGTTAAGAGCACTTGCTGCTCTTCCAGAGGACCTGTGGGTGTTGGGAAGTGAACTGTGGTCCTCTGGAAGAGCAAGTGCTCACAGCTGCCTACAACCCCAGATCCATGGGATCTGATGCCCTCTTCTGGCCTCCTTGGGCACCTGTACACACCAGATATATACTCCTACAGATAAATAAATAAGCCCTTTTTTAAAGAAATTGGTATTTTAAAGCAGAACCTTCAGGGAATTTTACACAGGACAAAGGAGGGAACTGTAGGTCAGGCAGGCAGCAGGACAATACAGAGCATGTCTCTAGAAAGGCAGAGAGATGGCCTCTGGTAAAGATATAGACTGGTGGGAAGGTAGGCTGTGATGAGCCTTGCATCCCAAAGTAAAGCAGGAGGATGTTCCTCAGGCCTGCAATGAGATACAGCAACAGTACACAGTAGAGTCACCCCTGCCTTGCTGGCGTGACACAGGGTCTTGCTCCTTTCCTCAGGGCTTGGGCACTGATGACAGCACCCTCATCAGAGTGATGGTTTCACGAGCGGAGATTGACATGCTGGACATCCGGGCAAACTTCAAAAGGCTCTATGGAAAATCTCTGTTCTCCTTCATTAAGGTGGGTCATGGCAGTGACACTCTGCTTCAGGGAATCCTAAGCTCTTCTATCACACCTTCTAAACACTGCAATAATTTCATGTTGACCCCAGACAAGGATTACATTTTTGACAGTGATACAGTTCTTCTTTTATTCAAAGGACATGCAAGGTAATGAGCCCTAACATTTGTTACATCTTTTTATTAATGGAGTAAGCCCTTTCATTACTTTTTAAAAATTTATTTTTATTTTATGTGTATCAGTGTTTTGCCTGCATATTTGTATATGCAACATGAGCTTGCTTGGCACCCAAGGAAGCCAGAAGAGGTCATTAGATCCCCCTAGAACTGGAGTTAAAGATGGTTGTTGTTCATCATGTGGGTGCTGGGAACTAAATCCAGGCCCCTGCAAGAGCAGCCAATGCTCTTAACCACTGGCCCATCTCTCCAGCCCAATGAGCCCTGACTTTTAAAATAATTAATCTGTTCAGTGAACACATAATGGAGAGGAAGCATCACCCTGAATATTCTTCTACCCAAGGTTAGCTTGATGTACGACCATGTATGAACTAAGTGCATTAGCAGTGACCGCCTATAACTTACTCCAGTATTGGATGTTACAAACTTTAGGGTCTTTGAGTTATGTAGGGCCCTTGTGTGTAACTGAAGTAAACCCCATTATTTGAACTCTCTTTATTGTTTTTGCTATTTATTTCTGTTTCTTTCCACCAAGACCTGCCATGTGCTTTGCACGACTGCTTCCAGTCAATGGGGAAATAAACTGGACAAAAGCCATATGTTCTAGTTGCTTTCTGTTGCTATGATGAACACCATGACCAAAAGCAACTTAAGGAAGAAACAATTTCTTTTGGTCTGCTGTTCCAGAGAGAGTCTATAATGGTGGGGAAGGCATGGCAGCAGGCCACCAGAGCAGGAGGCTAAGTCACGTTTTATCTGCACACAGGAAGCAGAGAGAACAGCAAGTGGGGTGAGGTTATAAAACCTCAAAGTCCACCCCCAGTTACATACTTACTCCATCAAGGCTGCACCTACTCAAAGTTCCAAAACCTCAACAAACAGTACCATCAACTGGGAACCAAATGCTCAAATACATGAGCCTATGGAAGGCATGTCTCATTTAAACAACCACATCATACATTCCTATAACCTAAAATTTCTCACACAAGATGCATTTCTCATTAGGCTCCTTATAAGAAATGGGCAGGTCCTCACTGCTGGTCTTGTGCTCTATCATAAACACCCTTTCCTCCACAGCACTGAGTGAATGCTGTGATCTGTGAGGCAGACAGCAGCTGTTACCTGGGCTGTCAACTTCTTCCTTCCTAGACCTCTGCAAACAGTAACCAGAGTTGCCATGGTTCCTCTTTCTTCCTCTAAAGATTAATTTTCTTTTTGGTCTTTTTGAGACAGGGTCTCCCTGTAGCCCCAGCTGTCCTGGAACTCACTATGTAGACCAGGCTGACCTTGAACTCATAGAGATTGCCTGCCTCTGCCTCCCGAGTGCTGGGGTTAAAGGCGTGTGCCACCACACCCAGCTAAAGATTAAATTTTAACAATACTGGGACTTTTGTTTAGGTGCCATGGATCAAATTAAGAGCCTCATGCATGCTAAGCAAACATCATCCACTAAACTACACCCTCAATCCTTAATGAATACTTTTAAGATCACAATTTCACTGCCTATCTAATAATAGAAGCAGCTGAATCCAGAATCCTGTGCAGGGCCAGCTGGAGTCTGCTGGCAACATGGGAACACGTATCAATGTCTCTTCTTTACCTGGTACCAGACAGCCAGGAGTTCTAAGATGGTGTGGGTGTGAGGAGAACTGACTCAGTCCTCAGAAGTCCTCTTTACTGGGCTTTTGCTTTTTGAGGAAGCCAGAAGAGTCTCATAAACATGACGCTGAGACTAATTTCCAGAGAAGCTTGGGTTGCCCACACAGCAAGCTTCACATTGAAACTTGACCTGTGAATTAAATATTCTGCAAAGACTGCACTGCCCATTTGAGAACTGTGTTGAAAGAGTAGGTGTGCTGGGCGAGGGGATACAGACTTATAATCCCAGCACACCAAGGCTGAGGCAGGAGGACCAGGACTTTAAGAAAGGCCTGGGTTACATAGAGAGACTGTTTCCAAATACCCATGATGAAAAAAAAAAAAAAAAGAAATAAAAGAATCAGAAGAGGAACATAAACTGTATTTGATAGAAACAAATGATGAGACAAAAACCTAAGTTATAATGATAAAAATAAACTTTAAGATTAGGTAAAAATATAAAATTCAGCTTGTTTAGAAGGAACAAGTAAAATACAGCGATATGTAAAAAGCTTAAAAAGGTCAGAGCCAGGCATGGTGGTGCATGCTTTTAATCCCAGTACTTGGGAGGCAGAGGCAGGCAGCTCTCTGTGAGACTGGGGCCAGCTTGGTCTACCTACTGAGTTCCAGGCCAGCTAGGGCAACAGGTAGACCACCTTTTGACGGATACAGAAAAGAAAGTGTGGACCACACTTACTAAAGAGAATTTAAGGAGGTAGAACTTTTGGGGAAAATAGATTGCTCTATACTATCAGCAACAGTTCACAATAAAGATTAAATTCCCCTTGCAGCTAGGGAGATGGCTGTGAATAAAGTGTTTGCCATGCAAGCATGAGGGACCTGAGTTTGGATCCACAGTACCCATGTGAAAACCTGGAGTGGCAGTGTGCATCTGTAACCCCAGTGCAGGGAGAGGTAGACGCTGGAGGATTGCTGGCCAGCTACTCTTGCCCAATCAGTGAGCTCCAGGTTCAGAGAGAAACCTTGTCTCAATAAGGTGGAAATGATAGAGGAAGACACCCAACATCAACTTCTAGCTTACATGCATATACATGGGCACGTACCCTAACATACATACATGAACATGTACACATGCATACACCATGCACACACATACACACAGATTAAATTATCAAGAAATTTTGAGACTGTAAAAGAAGACAATAACAAAACATGTAGAAAGAGACTTAACACATCTGTATTCTTTTACAGATCAATGAGATAAATAAGATTATGATTGGTTTTAACAGATATTAAAATTTGAACTCTAATGTTACAGACTCTATTTTTTTTAGTACCCATTAAGAAGTAACGAAAATGGATTTATTTGTGCTGGGGGGGGGTATCGCAAGGCCTTGTGTTCAATCTATAGCATCAAAAATAAAAATAAACAATCCAGGTATGATGGTGCACACCTTTAATCCTAGCACTCATGAGGCAGAAGCAGGCAAATCCCTGTGATTTTAAGGCAGTTTGGTCTACATAGTGAGTTCCAGGTCAGCCAGAGCTATATAGTGAGACTCTTTGTCTCACTAAATAATAAATAAATAAATAATCACGATGTAGTATTAGACCATAAAAAATTCCATGTTGAAATTATAGGACCTTCCTGGAAGGCTATTTTGCAATCCATATCAAAGGCTTAAGAAAATCCACAAAAATAAATAAATAAACAAAAATAAAACACTTTTGTTTTATGAAAATGTTTAAAAAACCATGAAGAAAATTCACAAAACTCAGATGTAATGCTTTCTGCAGCAATGTTTAATCTACTGAAAGTCAGAGCCCATGTTAGATATCTGACAGTGAGGAGGAGGGTGGCCATATCAGTTATTTTTACTTCTGTGCAACAGAACACTGTGTAATTATTAAAAAATATGGCAGCTGAGCATGGTGGCCCATGTCTCTAGTGCCAGCACACAGGAGGCAGAAGCAGACTGATCTCTGTGAAATCAAGGCCAGCCTGGTCTATATAGCAAGTCTAGACCTGCTGGGGCTACAGGGAGACCTTGTCTCAAAAAGACAAAAACAGACAAACCACACACACACACACACACACACACACACACACACACACACACACACACACGCGCGCGCAGGATACAGGTGTTAGGGTATGGTTCAGTGATAGTGCACATGCCTAGCACATGTTAAAGCCTTTGATTCAATCGTCAGTACCACCAAAAAATAAAGAGTAAAATAAGAACATAGAAGAATACTGTACTACAGTCTTGCCACAGAGGTATCTACATGTGCAGAAGGATATGCATGTCAGAATGTTAGCAGCAGCAATTCATAGATGGGGGTTGTGGGTGAGTCTCATGTTCTTTTATGTCCATATTTTCTACCCAGAACACATATTACTTTTAAAAAAGATTTTTATTTATGCTTATGTGTGCATGTGTATCTATATGTATGTGCATGTGAATGCAGTGCCTACAGAGGCCCGAAAAGGGCAGAGGATTCCCTGGAGCTGGTTTGCAGGTGGTTGCTAGCTGCCTGACATGGGTACCAAGAACTGGACTGGGGTCATTTGGAAGAACAGGAAGGGCTCTTAATCTCTGAGCCATCTCTCCAGTCCCCAGTATTACTTAAAAAAAATATTTTATGTGTATGCATGTATTGCTTGCATGTAGGTAAGTGCACCTGTGTCATGCAATGCCCATGGAGGACAGAAGAGGCTGTCAGATCCCCTGGAACTAGAGTTACAGACAGTTGTTAGCTGCCATGTGGGTGCTGGGATTGGAACCCAGGTCTTCTGCAAGAACAACCAGTGTTCTTAACTGCTGAGCCATCTCTCCAGCCTCCCAGGATTACTTTTGTAGTAAAAAAAAAAAAATGTTTTTTTAAGAAGCTAAGAAAAATCTAGCCAAGTTTACAAATTAACAAGTGATTTTGAACTGTGTGAAACACACTTACCCTGACTGTAACTTTGCTCTCCTTTCCCCCAGGGTGACACATCTGGAGACTACAGGAAGGTTCTGCTCATCCTCTGTGGAGGAGATGATTAAAAGAAACCCAGGACAGGATTTTCAACGCTGTTTTTTTTTTTTAACTTGATTTTTCTACACCACTATTAGCATTATCTCAGATGCTTATTTCCAATTAAAACGCCTACAGTTGCCTCCTAGGATCTAGGCTGTCTGTATTATTATCATCTATAATTACTCATTTTGATGCTTTAAACCTGTACTTGCATTTCAAAGCTTTAAGACCTAAATGGAGATTTGAAATAGAAATTAAAATGTGTTCCAGGTCTTTAACAAATTATCTCATTTGGGGTTCCACAGAAATCATGTTTTCTTTTCAGTAAGAATCTTACAGGACAGAAGCTATTCTGAGGTCAGTTTCTTCCCCAGGGCTAGTCATTTCTCTATTTGGGATTGTGAGCATCAGTTAGTGAGAATTTACATCCAGTTTCCTCTTTCACAGAGTTGTAGATTGAAAGGATCTACAAATCTCCTGTCTTTGGCCTTGTCTATTGTGTTAGTTGATAGTTACTGAGTTGACTGTGGCAGGCTTCATCACCCCTGCACTGAGTCTGCTTTCTGGGTAAAGTGTACCAAAGTCAGCTCATCTAAACAAGTCCAATTTCAATTGTGTTTAAACAGATTATGTGTGTTTGGTTATTTAAACATCTATGCAGATGTCCACAGTCTTATGGTTCATGTCTTAACCTAACTCAAAGGGGAAAGAAAGTAAGATTCAGACGAGCTGATTCTAACCCAGCTTAAAAGTGATGGAAAAGAATTGATCCCCATGAGCTGACTCTCATAGGGAGTGATGATCTGAATTGTGTTTGTCCTGAAGAAAAATTTTTCTGCTAAAAAGAATTTTTAGAATTTTTTAGCTTGTTGATTTGATTTGCATTGTGACTTCAACCTTACAATCATTCTGAAACTGCACTTGGATTTAATAATGAAGTTTGGTTTATATACTACATGGGAAAATAATTTTAATAAACAATGGTGATTTTTAAAGTGAGGGGCCTTCTTTTCCTGTTTGACTTTTCTACTTCAGAGATTTTTTTTTTTTTAATCCATCCAAACCATGGAAGAAGATAATTTTGAAGGAATTGTACCAAGTTTCTACTGGAATTACAACATGAAAAAACTATATTTAGTCTCATGTTTGCCTGATGCCATAAAATTAATGTTTACATTGGAGAGCTGGAGACAGGAGGAGCAGAACTTCAAGCTCATCTTAGGCTACACAGCCAGTTTGAGGCCAGCCTGGAATACAAGAGTCCCTATCTCAAAAACAGAACAAAATAAAAACAAAAACAAACAAAACAAATCAAGGACTGGGGAGATGGCTCAAACTGTAAAATGTTTACTGCACAAGCATGGGTACCTGTGTTTGGATTCCTGGCACCTACATGAAAGTTGGGCATAGCCACCACATGTGCCTGTAACCCTATACTAGGAAGTGGAGGCGAGTGGACCCTACAGACTCCCTAGCCAGCCAGTATAGCTGAATCAGTGCATTCCAAGTTCAGTGAGAGACCATGTCTTTCTCAAAGAAAGTGGAGAGTGAGAACACAATCCCTGCTATCAACTCTGGTTTCTACACAGACATACACAGGCGAGTGTATCCACATACACCCATGCATGCGTACACACATATACATGCTAAACAAACAAAGGCTTAAGAAGATAGTTCAGTGGGTAAAGACTGATGACCAAAGCTGATGACCTGAGTTTAGTCCCCAGCACCCATATGGTGGACATGCTAAACAAACAAGGGTTGAACAGGATGGCTCAGTGAGTAAAGCCTGATGACCAAGACTGACAACCTAAGTTCAGTCCCCAGCACTCACACGGTGGAAGGAGAAAACCAACTCTTACAGGTTGTCCTCGGGCCTCCACATGTGTGCTGTGGTACACCTCCCTGAAAGAAATAAATGTAATAAAACCAACAAATAACCCCCCTAAAATTTATGTATGCTAAACACTATTCGATAATATTGAACAATACATCAATTTATTCCCTGGAAATGAGTGATTCTCTCTCTATTCAGTGGATTATTTATATTAAATGTTCCATATCAGGCCAGGAGTGTAGCTTTGTGAGAAAATTATATGTAGATTCAGTCCTTTGTACTACAAAGGAAAAAAGCGGTCGATGTATAAAGAACACATGTACATATCTATCTGGACCTTTGTTGGTTCTGTATCCTGGACTGCATTTAGTGGGTGAAATGATATGCACTTGAGTTTCAGCTCAGTTGGGGATCACTGATGACAGGCCTATGTGACTAGTCATTCTGATTAACTTCGACTTCAGGAAGCAACGCTGCCACCTCAGGTCTGTGGAATCACCACACCAACTTCATTAGGTTTGGGAAGCTTTGTTCTTTGTTTTGGTTTGGGTGACTGTTTCATCTTTAAAAGACAAATGGCTTAGGCAGAATTTTAAAACAAATTTCAGCAAGTGAAGATAGAACTTGGTGGTAGAATACTTGCCCATCGTGCATAAGACCCTGGTCCTCAGCTCTGAAAAAACAAAACCAAACCAAAAACTTAAAACAAATTCCATTTAGTAAAGCTTCTAGAAGCTTCCCAGAAGATAGGAGAAAGTCACCCTGGAGGAATGCTGCTTATTAAACAATCATAGCTTTGAGCTGTAATTTCAAAGGGACTGTTTTTCTCTCATTGGTCATTTACATGTTTCAGTGGACTGACTTCTTGTCTTTAGAGGTAATTTCAGACTGAAGAGAGAAAGCTGGCTTGGGAAAGCCAGCCATCTAAGATTTCTTCACACCCCAATGCACCCTGATTGAGTTGTGGCATCAGTGAGGAGAGCAGAGGGGATGGGGGAAGTTCTGACCTGCCTCCCACTGCTCAGGCAGAGGAGCATAAGCCCTGTGGAATGCAGGGTCTCACTGTGCTGGCCTGGAACTCCATATATAGATCAACCTGGTCTCAAATTCAGAGATCCTCCTGCCTCTTCCTCCTAAATGCTGGGATTACAGCAAGCACCACCAAACCCAGCCCCGGGCAGGCTATTAGGGACATTCCCAGTAATCCCCTTGGCAATTTCCTTACCAGGGAACCATTCACCTGAGGTTCCTTTGGTGAGGTGAATATGTTTCTGTTTTAGTTCCTCAGAATTTGGTGATATACCAGGTCACTATGTTGAAGTCTGTTTGCCTTCCTGCCCAGGCCTCTTGGGTAAGATTTCAGATGGCACACACTCTGGGTTCTGTGATTTCAAGCAGATCCCCTTGCACCATTATTCCCTTGCTTCAACTTCCACCCCAACCTGCCACAACTAGGTACTCTCAGGATTTCTCAGGGATAACATTAGTCCTCTGCAAAGGACAGATACTGCCAACTGCTGCAATGATGCAGTCAGTTCTGGGTGCAATTTGGCAAGAGCTCATAAAGTTGAAAATTTCCCAGAAAACCCATTTCTAGAGAGCTGCTTGAAGAAATTCTTGCACATAATGTTCTGGCCTGCTTTGAAAGAGCATTAAAGTAGAAATAATTGAAATGCCTCAGTGAGGGAGTAGGTAAATCATGGGTCAGTCTTACAATAAGCAGTGAAAATTAACTAGAGATTTAATCCAAAGTATAGTTTTGAGAAAGGAGAAAGATTCCCTAATGATAAGTATGGTCTGATTCCATTTAAATTATATGTCTGAATGTGCAGGAGAAAACATATGGTTTATGAATATGCGTGTAAGGACCTGTAAGGGAATAATGGTATACCTCATTCTCAAGACGGTGCTCACCACTGGAGAGGAAAACAGATGCAAATGGAGAATGGGTCACAAGGGGGTTTCTCATATTTTTATCTTTCTATTTTAAAATGAATCCTTTGTTATATCTCAATAAAGCTGAAGGGGTAGGGAGAACAAATCATGATAAAATTTCAAGCCAGTAGTTGGTCTGTATTACTCCATTTGAAATATTTCATCATAAACATTTTACTTAGAAAAGCAGAAACCATGCCCAGCATGGTGGCACATGCCTTTAATCCCAGCACTAGGGAGCCAGAGACAGATGGATCTCTTGAGATCAGGGCCAGCCTGGTCTACATAGCGAGGTCCATGCCAGCTGGGACTACAGGAAGACCCTGTCTCAAAAAAACCAAACAACCCCAAAACCAAAAAAACCAACAAAGCCAAACAAAAAAACCAGGGATGGTGGCTCACACCTGTACTCCTAGTGCTTCAGAGGCAGGGGAATTGCTGAGAGTTCTAGGGCAGCTTGGGCTACACAGAGAGATCCTGTATCAAATAATAAATAACAGGGCTGGGGCTGTAGCTCACTTCATAGAGTGCCTGCTTAGCATATACAAAGCCCTGGGTTCAGAACCCTGGGGTCTGATCCTCAGCACTTCATAAGCCTGGCCTGGTGACACATGCCTATAATACAAACACTTAAAGTCATCAGGTAGATTTCAGTTGTCATGTTTTTCACCTAATCAACATGAAGCAAACTTTTATACTTCTTCCTCAAATATAACACATTTAAAAAATTTTATTGACTTTTTTTGTATTGCATACAGAACATCCCAATCTTACTCCCAGAGCCTCCTCCCACCCCACTGGAGCCCATGGAATCTGTCATCCCTGTTACTGTCCACTGTGTTGTCAACACCCCTAGCTGTTCTCCAGTGCTTGTCCGTCTGCTGAGTCTAGTCAGCCTATTTAGAGTTCCTTGTTTTAGGAAAATCAACTCTTCCTCATCTAGCAGCAATTGTCAATATTCCTTTAGATAAGATTGGGGTCTACTGTTCATTTTCCCAGTTCTATGCTGGGTTACTCTCTGGGAGTATACCAAGGATCTCAGAAAGTAACTAACTGTGACTAGTAATAATCAGATATATAGAGCTTAAAGATGCATGTGCAAACATCTAAGTATTAGTTGCATTAAAAATGAGTTTTTCTGTATGAAACAGTATATTTTAAAATGAAATGGAGATCTTTCTTAAATGGAGGTTAAAACCTCATTCAATTTTGTCTTACAGGGTTTATTCTGAGTACAATATTTTAGAACTGTATTGCTTCAACTGTGAACCTAAAAATTTACAGCCAATTTTAAAAGAGATGCATCTTTGCTCTGGAAATTATTACTGAATATGTCAATGCTGTTGTAATGAAATGCTTCTTTTAATCAAGTGGTTATTAAATAAATAATTTTTAAAAAATACAAGCACTAGCTGGGCGTAGTGGTGCATGCCTTTAATCCCAGCACTAGGGAGGCAGAGGCAGAGGCAGGTGGATCTCTGTGAGTTCAAGGCCAGCCTGGTCTACATAGTGAGTTCCAGGACAGGTGGGGCTACAGTGAGACCCTGTCTCAAAAGGACCAAAAAAAAAAAACAAAAAACAAAAAAACAAACAAACAAGTACTTAAGAGGTAGAGACAGACAGATCAGAATTTCATCCTCAGCTCAGATAGTGAGCTTGAGGTTAGCTTGGGATACCAGACACCCCACTCAATAAAATAACATGACTCAAATCAAAAACAAGGCAGAAGGGACCTAAAGCTGGCTGGGACCCCAGACTGACTCTTGTCCATACTGCTAGGGTGAAGGCCCTTAAAGGCTGGACAGTCCTGGCTCAGAGCCAGAAGTGCCCAGATGCCATAAGTGGAGTGTAGACAACCCTGACCCGGGCCGCAGGTTTCCTTCCATCTTCCTCTCACTATCTGTTTAGGCCCCAGTAAGCACGAGGAATCGGAGAACCTTGTTTCCCGAAAGGAAGGAACTACAGGTCCCCAGCCCTACCTTCCACAGCATGTGGGACCCGCGGGAGTGGCGTCAGGCCCGCTGGGGGCGTGGTCACGGCCTGCGCATGCGCAACCGCACGCTCCGGCCCGCCCCTTCCGGAGGCTAGCTACCCGCGCTCTGAGTGCTCCGTTGGGAAGGCGTGGGTGCGAGGTTGCGTATAACCGGCGGTCGCGGAGCGGGCGGGGCACAGGATGGAGGCTGCGGCGCTCCCGGCGGCGGCGGCGGCGGCGGCGGCGGCGGCCGCGCTCACGGCGACGGTTGGGGGTGCGCGCGAGGTGGCCGCGAAGTAGGGGGGGCGGCGGCGGGGCGGCAGGATGGCGGGGCGGCCCTTCAACACTCCCTAGGCTCGGTAGCCATGGGTGCGTTGAGCAGCCGGGTGCTGCGGCCCGCCGGGCGCGCTGAGCGTCCCGAGACCCCCAGCGCGGGGGGCGCGGCCCACGGGACCGGCGAGAGTGCCGAGGCTGCCCGCGGCTTCTGCTTTTGCTCGGGGGGCCGCAAGCGCAAGCGCAGCAGCGGGACTGTATGCTACTGCCACCCCGACTCTGAAACGGACGAGGACGAGGACGAAGGCGACGAGCAGCAGCGGCTGTTGAACACTCCGCGCAGGTACCGCGAGCGACACCTGCGGGGCGGGGCTGGGGAAGCCGCGGGGGCTGCGCGGGAGGTGGGCGCGTACGGGGCAGACCCCGGTGAGTGCGGGGCAGACCTGGGTGGCTTAGGGTACTGCACTTTAAACAGATGCTGCCTGCATGGTGTCACAGCCTCAACCTGAGCTGCAAAACCCGAGCTTGCATGTCCTCACCCGAGAGACATCCCCCTGGGCGGGCGTTCCCCAGTACGGTCTTGAGTGGGTAACCGCAGAGAAACTTTTGCATCCACTTGCCAGTCAGTAGAGAGGTACATACTACTATATGAGATTGACACGTTTCTGTTTCTGCTTCCACGGAAGTAATTGCACACCGCTCTCCTCATCTGTAAAGGTGAAGATTGTCAGTACTGTGCATTCTCTGCGAATGGAGGAACAAAGTCTTGTCAAAGTGCGAGTTGATGTCAACGGCAGCAGTGGTCTGTGTAAAGAGTTGAGAAAAATAATTGCTTGTGAAGATGTGGATTATACCAGAATATATTTTCATATAAACAGTCTGTTTGCTCCTTTTTTTTAAAGGTCATTGGTAAATTACATAGATGTAATTTTTCCATGAAACTTTAAAATACGGTTTACTCGATATTTTGCTAGACAAGCATTACAAATTTATTGGCGGAAAAGTATGGGTACTGGAGATTTAGCTCAGTGGTATAGGTAGCAGTTAAATATCATAGGTAAAACTAGTTTTATATGACCTTTCACTAGGGCTTTATGTGCAAGTGTATTTACACAATAGACACCCAAATGTGAATATTTTCAAGAATATAGCATACTCTCTTTTTTTTTTTTTTTTCCTGGTCTTTTTGAGGCAGGGTCTTCCTGTAGCCCCAGCTGGCCTGGAACTTGCTTTGTAGACCAGGCTGGCCTTGAACTCACAGAGATTCTAACCCTGCCTCTGCCTCCCGAGTGCTGGAACTAAAGGCTTGCACCACCACGCCTGGCAGTATAGTATGTTCTTAAGAGCTCAGATTCTGAATTTCTGTCAGCATTCTGTACTAAATATGCCTTTATTCATATGCAAAATGGGTATTACTGCCACCTCATGGAGTTCCAGCAAGGTACTGCAAGACTGTAATGTCTGCACTCGGGAGGCTGAGGCAGGAGAATCTTAAATTGGAGATCAACCTTGGGCTACATAGTGAGTTCAAGACCATCTTGGACAGAGGAGCTGTGGGGGAAGTTGGGGTGGGGGTGGAAACACAAGCACACAAGCAGTGTCTTTTTTTTTTTTTTATAAAGCTTTATTTCATTTTTAATTACGTGTATATGTGTGTGTATCCACATGTGGGTTTGTGCAGGTGCCTCTGGAGTCCTGAAGAGGACCTTCAATCCCCTAGAGCTGGAGTTACAGGCAGTTGTGATCAGCCTGTTATGGGTGCTGGGAGTTATACTCAGTCCTCTGCAAAAACAGTATGCACTCTTAACCACGGAGTCATCTCTCCAGCCCTACAGTGCCTTTTATGCAGTCAATAGTAATAACTCCTTAGTGAACTGGCCCTTAACATCATTTGATAAGATAGTCATCCCAGGGCTGGAGAGATGGCTCGGTAGTTGAGGGCGCAGGCTGTTCTTGCAGAAGACCTGGGTTTGAATCCCGGCACCTGCATGGCAGCTTACAGCTGTCTGTAGTTCCAGTTCCAGGGGATCTGACAGCCTCTTCTGTTGTCCGACAATGTGTTGCACGGTTGTCCGACAACCATGTTGCATGACACAGGTGCACTTGCCTACATGCAGACAATGCATTCATACACATAAAATAAAAATAATAAAATATTTTTAAAAAAAAGATAGTCATCCCTCTTTAGCCCTAGTAACATAACCATTCCTACTTTTTTGTGACAGGTTCTTCCTATAGCCCCAGCTGGCCTAGAACTTGCTATATAGAACAGCCTGGTCTCAGTCCCACAGAGGTCCGCCTGCTTCTCTCCCCCAAGTGCTGGGATTAAAGGCATGTGCCACCATGCCCAGTTGCACGTTCTTTTGATAATTATTTGGTGTGCCATTTTTCATTCTTTCAAACTTACCCTCCACATTCTATCAACCATTTTCCCCATCAGACCCTCATGGAACTGAGGTCATTAACCATGCTAGTTAAGCATTCTACCACTGAATTACATGGAGTCCCAGCCCCTTTAACTTTTTAAAACCTATCTGTGTGTGTGTGTGTGTGTGTGTGTGTGTGTGTGTGTATGCTTATGTGATATGGAGGCCAGAAGTTGACAGTGGGTACCTTCCACTATTGCTCTCTACTTTAGCTTTTTGAGACAGGATCTTTTACTAAAGTTGAGGGTCACTGACTGGCTAATCTAGCTGACCAACAAAGTCCAGGGATCTGCCTGTTGCCCACCCCCTCCCCCAATGCTAGGCTTATAGATGCCAGAAACCCTGCCTTGCTTTTTTTTTTAGGTGTGTTCTGGGGCTCCAAGTCTGTACCTTGCGCTTGAAAGGCACTTGATTGAGTCATCTCCACAAGTTTATTTATGTTTTTCTGTTTAAAGTAGGTGTCATGTATAGTATACAACATTTAATTCAGTCCTGATTTTTTTTTTTTAATCCAGTAAGACAGTCTGTTCCTTTGGATCAGGATTAGACCACATATTTTTTGGAGGGGGTCTTTTTGAGACAGGGTCTCCTTGTAGCCCTAGCTGACCTGGAACTTGCTATGTATACCAGGCTGGTCTTGAACTCACAGAGATCCACCTGCCTCTGCCTTCTGAGTGCTAGGATCAAAGGTGTGCACCACCACACCCAGCTTAGACCACGAATATTTAATGTAATTGTTGAAATATATGCTAGGGCCCATTTAAAAGAAACCACATGGTTGGGGCTGGAGAGATGGCTTAGCAGTTAAGAACACTAGTTGTTCTTGCAGAAGACCTGGGTTCAAATCCCAGCACCCACATGGTAGCTAACAGCTGTCCATAACTCCAGTCCCAGAGGATCTGACAGCCTCTTCTGACCTCCACAGGCATTGCATGACACAGGTGCACTTACCTACATGCAGGCAATACACACATACACATAAAATAAAAAATAAATAAAATTAACAGAAAAAGAAACCACATAATCATTTGAACAGGGAAATGTTAATGTAAATCTTATTAACAAGAGAAGGAAATTAACTATTTAGGACAAAACAAGGTAAAGAGATCTCAAAAAAAAAAAAAAAGTACAGGAATCGGTCAAACTTTGTGGCACATACCTGTAGTCAGGAGACTCATAGGTTCAAGGATAGCCCAAGTTACATATTGAGAAAAGAAAAGCAAATGCATGTCAGAATTTAGTGTATGTGTATTAGGGGGAGATGCTTCTTTTAGACCCGCATAGCCAAAGATGTAAAAAGATACTAGGATCTGTAATTTTTGTGGTAAGACACTGATCCCCTTCGGAGGTTGTCTTTTGTACTCTTTCATCTCAACAAACCAACTCAGGAGAAGCTTCAGCTTCAAACAAGCTCCCCCCCCCCAACAAGATTGTTAAAACTCACACAGTTCTGCAGCAGATCTTCTGCATTTTGCCCATAGATTGTAAAAATTGAAATCTAGTGAACAGTTAGTGTAATTGTACTTCAGGCTTATAAATCATACTTCACAGATCTAGTGCCACAGAGGTTGGCATTTGCTAACCTCATGGTTAGGCCATATCTTTCACTCTTTGAGATAAGGTCTCATGTGCTCTAGGTGACCTCCAAACTGGCCTCAAACTCACTGTATGGTAGTGCTGGGATGGAACCCAGGGCCTTTTAGATGCTGGGCAAATACTATAAGTTGAGCTACATCCAACAGAGCCCCTAGAATTCCTTAACCTTTTTTATTTTTGTACATTTATTTATTTGTGCTTTGGAGGGGAGCGTGCTACAGCATGCTATACATGTGTGGAGATCTAAAAACGTCTCCTTCCACCGTGTGGGTTCCAGGGATTGAGCTCAGGTCTTCAGGCTTGGTGGCAAGGCTTTTACCTGCTGAGTTATTTCTCTGGCCATGTTTTTTATATTTCTTATTGCACTAAGAGTTTCTAACTGCTTTTTAAAAAAATATTTGGGGCTGGAGAGATGGCTCAGTGGTTAAGAGCACTGGCTGCTCTTGCAGAAGACCTGGGCTTGAATCCCAGCATCCACTGTAATTCCAGTTTTCAGGGACTCCAATGCCCTCCTCCGGCCTCCATAGGAACTGCATGACATGGGTGCACTTACATACATGCAGGCATAACACTCATACACATAAAATAAAAATTGTAAATTTTAAATATTTTTTAAAGTTATGCATATGTATGTCTCTGTGTGTGTGCCCATTTGTGTGTGGGTGCCCGTGGAGGCCAAAGGTCCTCAGATTCCCTGGACCTGGAGTTACAGGCAGATGTGAGCTGCCTGACATGGGTGCTGGAACCTAAACTCTAGGTTCTCTGCAAGAGCAGTATGTAATCTGAACTGCTGATCCTTCTTTCCAGCCCCTCCAGCTGCCTTTTTTGCCCCCATTGAGAAAAAAATATCCCTTCATCATATCTTGAGGGGTTTTTTTTTTCATCTTCTGAAAACCTTTGTGTGGAATCCATCTCCTTCAACCATTTAGACCTCCTGCAGAGTTCCTGCCTCCTGCTCCAGTATGGATCTGTTTTTATAGTAATGAGGACCGACTTTCACCTTACCTCTAGGATTGGACCCACTGTTTTTAGTAGCCTACCTTTCTTACTCATTTCAATAAACTACATCTTACAAGTATTTTCTCATGAAAGTGCAAAAGCAAAATAACTTTTGCATATCTAAGAATAAATTTAGTTTCAGTTTATTCCTCCTCTGTCTGGTTTTGGTATTCTATATAACTTCCCTTATCTTTTAAGCATCTACTCCTTATTTTGTTTTGTTTTTTTAAGACAGGGTCTCCCTGTAGCCCTAACTGGCCTGGAACTTGCTATATAGACCAGGCTGGCCTGGATCTCACAGAGATTTGCCCACTTCTGCCCCCACTGTGTTTGGATTAAAGGCATGAGCTACCACACCTGGCTAAACATCTACCCTTAAAAAAAATTCTTTTAAATCACATTTTTGCATGTGTACACACATCTGTGTATACCCTTGTCATGGCGTGTGTGTGGAAGTCAGAGAACAGCTTTTGGGAATTATATCTTTCCTTCCATTATATGGGTCCAGGTGATTGAACTCAGATCACTCATCAGACTTGGCAGCAAGTGTCTTTACCTACTGAGCTGTCTCTCCTGCTCCCCATCTTCATGATGCTACTTCATTGTCTTATGGTGGGAGTGTGGATGAAAAATGTGATCCTGGTCTAATTCTGTTTTCTTTTTAGGTGAACATATTTTTTCTTCCTGAAACTTTTAGAATTTTTTTTCTTATATATTTTAGAATCCAACTATAAATGTCCCTTAGTGTGGGTCTTTGATGCCTTTGGTACTCCCTTAGTGTGAGTCTTTGATGCCTTTGGTAATTAGTGGATCTATAATCTAGAGACTCATATACTAGTAATTAAATAGCTTTTTCTTCTTCTGAGTCATCCTTTATCATCACTTCCTGTTCTTATTTTATAAATATAATAATTGGAGAATTTCAGGTATATGAATTAGGTTTTTTTAAAAAATTTCTTATTTCTGGGAGCTGGAGAGATAGCTCAATAGCTATTGCAGAGGACCCAGGCTCAAACAACTGTAACTCCTGTTCCAGGGGATCCATCACTCTCTTCTGACCTCCAAGGGCATTGCAGGACACAGATGTACTTACATACATGCCGGCATTCCTCCATCCTTCCTTGTCTTCCCTCAAAGATGACTGTGTCCTGGAAGTGTAAGCTAAAATAAACTCTTTCCTCCTGTAAGTTGCTTTTGGGCATGGTGTTTATCACAGAAACAGAAAGCAAACTAGAACACTTACCCCTCTTATATTTAAGAATGAGTAGCTGGGGTGTGTGTGTGTGTGTGTGTGTGTGTGTGTGTGTGTGTGTGTGTGTGTGTGTGTGCTGGTTGGTTGAGTAAATACATTTCCAGTGAGTCTCTTTGAGAAGGAAGACTGACAGAACTAGATGTTGGTGGGATAGGCTTTGTTTTAGAGTATCAGTCACCAAGCTTTGTTGGTTCACAGTGCCTTTAGTCTCTCTGATACTTTTTCAAAGCATACCTGGTCCAAAAGAAATACTTTATGGTGCATCCAAACAACTTAATAGTGGTAAATTGCTTCAGAGACAGTACTGTGTTCCCTTCAATTAAAAAGTGTTTCCAGTCAGGTGTGGTGATACATGTCTGAAATCTCACCACTTGGGAGATGAAGATTGGAGGATTGGAAGTTCAAGGCCAGCCTGGACTACATACGTCCCTGTCTCAAAAAGCCAAAAAATAAATAAAAATAAAATTCTGTGTCCCTCTCTTGAGTTTGGCACAGTTTGGGAACCATGATGTAGTATAAATGGTTTGAGAGTTGTTAGGCTACAGATTCCTCTTGTGCCAGAACCAGGTTTGCTCTGTCCAAGACACTGACACCTGCACATAAGCTGTACATTTCCTGCTGGGTTTGTTCTGTTTCTTTCTGGAAAAGCCCCACCTCTATGATTCCTTCTTGAATTCCTGCCCTGACTTTTCTCAATGACTTACCTTGAAGTATAAGCCAAGTAAACCCTTTCCCTACCAAGTTGCTTTGGTCAGAGTGTTTTATCACAGCAACAGAAAGGAAACTAGAAGAGACCTTTTAACATCCCTGGCTCTAAAGGGCAGTAGGCTTAATCTCATCCAAGTGCCTTGTAATGTATTATATTTTGGGCTGTTGTATTCACTACCCTTTTTCATTCCAGTTTATCTTATAATTTCTACATCTCTGGAAGTCTCTCATTAGCCGATCACCTCCCTCCCCTTCTCCCTCCTCCCCCTCCTCCCTCTTGTTGAGATGCAGTCTCCTGTCAGTGTAGCTCTGACTGGCCTGCAATTCACTATGCCTGCCTGTGCCTCCTGAGTGCTAAGATTAAAGGCCACCGTGCTCAGCTTCAGTTTTCTTTTTTCCACTCCTGTTTTTTGCTGCTTTAGGACTTACTCCTTCTTGTCTAAAAGATTTTACTTGTTTTTATTTTACATATGAATGTTTTGCCTGCATGTATGTATGTGTACTCTGTGTGATCAGTGCCCACACAAGCCAGAAGAGGTCATTAGATTCCCTGGAACTGAAGTTATAGACAGTTGTGAGCTAGGAACTGAACTCTGGACCTCTGCGAAAGCAGCAAGGGCTCTGAACTGCTGAGCCATCTCTCCAGCTCCTTGTTTATTTTTGAGACCTCTCCCTTGTGGGCCAGGCTGGCCTGAAGCCCAGCAGTTCCCCTTTCTCAGTCTGTGAAATGCCAGGATTATAAGCATGCACCTCTGCCATTACCATACCTGGCCCTTAACACCTTTTCATACTTTTAGCCTTTTTTCTTTCTTTTGTGCTTGCAAGTTTTGTTGTTTTCTGTAGAAAACTAAGGATTGAACTCAGATTTTAAACACACTGGTTTCAGACACTGAACAAAACAGTAATTTTTTTTCTCCTTTCATTAGGTTTTTTGTTTTGTGTTGTGACAGGGTCTCATTTAGCCCAGGCTGGTCTCAAACTCGGTATATAGCCAAAGCTGATCTTGAACTCTTGATTTTCTTTCTTCTCTCTTGTCAGTGCTATGATTATTTGTGTACCATTACACCCAGTGTCTTAGTTTCTTTTCCTGCTGCTGACAAAAGCAATTTAGGGGAGTTCCAGGTGACAGTTCATCACTGTGGGGAAGTCAAGGTGGCAGGAACTTGAAGCTGCTGGTCAGATTACAGTACAATCAGGAGCAGAGAGCAGTGAGTGCTCATGCATGCTCAGCTCTTTCTCCACTCTTACACAGTTTGGAATCCAATTCTTAGGGAATGTTGCCACCCACTGTAGTCAGGTCTTCCCATCTTAATTAACATGATCAAGATAATGCCCCACATATATACCCACAGGCCATCCCAGTCCAGACAGTCCCTCATTGATACTTCCTTCTCAGGAGATTTTAGGATGTGTCAAGTTGACAGTGAAAACTAACCATCACAGCTGGGTGTGGTGGCGCACGCCTTTGATCCTGGCGCTCGAGAGGTAGAGGCAGGTGGATCTCTGTGAGTTCAAGGCCAACCCGGTCTACATAGTGATTCCTGGCCAGCTGGGGCTACAGGGAGACCCTATCTTAAATACACACACACACACACACACACACACAGAGGCACGCACACAAATCACACCTAGCAGTTACTTTATTTGTAGAAAGAGATTTAAAAAATTTTAAACTACTAGAAAAACTATCAGAAGTGGTCAGGCATTTAAGGTGGATCAGCTGGGGCTAGAGAGATAGCTTAGTGGTAAAAGGCACTTACTGTATGATCATGAGGAGCAGAGTTCAGTTATTTAACAAGATTTCACCCATGTAACAAGCCAGGTGTCCTGTGTAACTCCAACTTTGGGATGGGGGTGGCAAAGACAGGATTGCTGGGGCTTGCTGGCTTCCAGTCTATTGGAAAACACAAGCTAAGCTCCAAGTTTTAGTAGAGAACTTGCCTCAGAGAAATAGGTGGAGAGTGATAAAGGAGAACACTCAACTTTTTGTAACTTCTTCCTGCAAACATAGGCATGTGCACCCACACACATGTGCATACACGCCCATGAACACATGTACACCTAAATTAGTAAGTAAATCTTTTAGAGGAAAGCAACCTTTTTTTGGTATTTTTTGAGACAGAGTCTCCCTGTAGCCCCAACTGACCTGAAACTGGCTATATAGACCAGGCTGGCCTTGGACTCACAGAGATCCACCTTCCTCTGCCTCCCAAGTGTCGGGATTAAAGGCATGTGCCACCAGGCCCAGCTTAAACATATTTTTAAGCTAGATCACCCTTTTTCTTAGTTACTGAACCTTGATTGTGAATTTTCTTTTCTTTTCTTTCTTTTTTATTTTTTTAGGCAAGGTTTCACGTAGGTCATCTTGGCCTTGTATTCACTATTTAACAGTATGACCTTGAACTCCTTACTCTCCTTTCACTACTTACCCAGCGTTGGGATACAGGTGTGTTGCCCATCATACCTGGTCTATACAGTACTAGGGACTGAACCCACAGCCTTGTGATGCTGGGGTTCTCACACTGCTTTTTGAATATGCAACTTCTGCATTTCTCTTGACAGGAAAAAATTAAAGAGTACATCTAAATACATCTATCAAACATTGTTTTTGAATGGTGAAAACAGTGACATTAAGATCTGTGCTCTAGGAGAAGAGTGGAGCTTACACAAAGTATACCTGTGTCAAGTAAGTGCTCCGCTTCTCTGTTGATGGCCAGGGTAGCTGCTTCCAGCACCCCAGACTTTCAGTTGCACTCTGTTCTTGGGTGGATTTCACACAGAGCTCTGGTGTGGATTAAGACATGTCATCTCACCTGGTAAAGTGTCTGCTGGTGAAGAACGATGGTGAGCTTTGCTAGTAAAAGCTGAATCTGGCCTTGAAAACTGAAAGCCGAGTTTGGTCTGGAAAACAGATTTTGAAATTCCCATCATACTGTCCACCGTTGTGTCACCTCTTTGTTGTGAAGGAGTTTATTCTAGTATCTTTTGCTGATAAAATTGGAAAAGAAAATCTGTAACATTAAAGATTATCCAAATGTTTTTATGACAATTCAAATTGAATATATTTCCCTAAAACGTTGCTTTGGAAAAAGTGAATAGAAAGGTAATACTTACCTTTCCTAGAAAATTCAGACCAGCAAACAGCAGAAGTCATCTGGCTGATGCACCTTTCTGACTTTTGTGTTGAAAGGTTTTCTGTCGGGCACTTGATTTTTAAAATGGCTCAGAACTTTTGGGGGCTGGAGAGATGTCTCAGCAGTTAAGAACACTGGCTGTTCTTGCAGAAGACCCAGGTTCGAATCCCAGCACCCATATGGCAGCTAACAACTGTCTGTAACTCCAGTTCCAGGGGATCCAACAGCCTCTTCTGTCCTCTGAGGGCATTGCGTGACATGGGTGCACTTACCTACATGCAGGCAATATACGCATACACATAAAATAGAAATAATAAATTTTAAAAAATTACAATGGCTCAGAACTTTCAAATAGAGTATTGTGTTGCTCTAAGAGTTCAGATATGTTTTCTTTAAAAAATTTTTTTCTTAATGTTTATTATTGTATTTGCACATGTGTATATGCTTGCCACTGTGTGTGCCAATGTCAGAGGACAACTTACAGGAGTCAGTTCTTCCATGATGGGGTCCTGGGGATCAAACTGAGTTATTGGGCTTGACAGCAAGTGTGTTTACCTGCTAAGTCATCTCACCAGTCCCTTAATGTTTTGTTTTGTCTTGTTTCTAGTCTCCCTGTACCCACACCCAGCCTGAAACTCAATATGGAGACCAGGCTGGCCTCAGTCTCACAGAGATCCACCCACCTTTGCCTTCCAAGTGCTGGTATTAAAACTGTGCTCTACCACACCCAGCCCCTCAGATGTTTATTTGATGACCTTCCATCCCGTTCTATGTCCTAGGCCTTGTGAGTTCTTACCCTGTGGATCTAGTGTTTTCCCACCATTGTTGGAGAATAAATACTTGAAAGATAGTAGTCTGAAATTTGCCAAGGAAAATGTTTGAAGTGTTTCTTTCTCCCACATTTTCATCAAAATGTTTTTCATTTATTTTTTTGAAAAAGTTTACTTTGATTTGAAGAATAAAAACCAGAAATTTTTTTAAAAAGAAAGAGAAGCTGAGTTTACTTAAAAAAAAAAAAACAACAAAAAAAACCAAGAGTCCAAAAAGAATACAGTCCAGAGGATATGTCAGACTATTAGTCTTAACCATATCTTTGTTTTAATCTCTGAAAGAAAAAAAATCTCTCACTGACTTTTAAGGATGAGATGGCCTCTGTGACAAGGATGAGATTGCCTCTCATGATCCTTGCAGGCTGCCTGTGGACAGAAACCACATCTGAGTCCTAAGCTGCTATAAACAGTTGGCACTCTGCATGTGCAGGCTCCACATCCCCTGTGTAACAACTCAGGATTAAAAGTAATTGGAAAAAAGCAAATTGACATGTATTGAACAAACATACATGACTTTTTTTGTCATTCCCTAAAAAACAATATAATTACCTACGTTACATTTACATTGTATTGGGTGATGCAGGTAACCTACAGATGACTTAAAAGGGTGTGAGAGGGTGCAATATGACTTAAAGGGTGTAAGATGACTTAAAGGGTGTAAGATGACTTAAAAGGGTGTGATCAGTGCAGAGAGGAGGGACTTGAGCATATGTGGGTTTAGTGTTGACAGCATGTCCTGAAGCCACAGGTACAAATGGATGAACATAGTAAGTACTGAATAATGTCTTTATTTTATTCTATTTTAATCAGTTCTTTTTGGTGCCAAAACCCAGGATTGAACTTTAATTTATGTTTTAAAATTAGTTAATATTTGATCCATTCTAAAAGTACTGCAGTTCTGATTATGAGGGATGCTATCTGGAAGGTAACCATACATTTTATCCATGCCAGAATTCAGGCCCATTGTGGTTAGATAAAACTAACTTCTGGGTTTTCCTAGATTTTCTGGAGTATATTCTTTTAGTGCTGACTTGGGAGTGTTCTGGGTCCTTAATAGCCACGGAGATCCCAGAAAGGAGTCAGTAGTTTGAGGACTCATAGTTTTCTCTCCTCTGAATACAGAATTGTGTCTGCTGTGTGTGCTGCCATGTTTTGTGAGAGATGCTGAGATGTGTGAGACTGTCTTGGTGAGGGGGAAAAAAAAAACATACAGTGCACTACCCAGGAATTGCTTTAAGTAAAAGCTAATCAGGTTTAAGAAGTAATGTGGGAATTTAGTTTTGAGATGTACTAAATTGAACATGTACTTCAGAATACTTTATAATGACTTTATTTTAACTTCTTTTCTGCTGTAGATGTACTGAACAGTTCTTTTTCTCTTGAAATAATATGGCAAATTAGTTTTGATAAAAAATAGTTGGGTGGAGTTAGAGATGGGAAAATAATTTGGAAGACAAAGTACTGGCCAATCATTAACTTTTTACTTTTTCTTCAGTCTGGCTACTTTTCTAGTATGTTCAGCGGTTCTTGGAAAGAATCCAGCATGAATATTATTGAACTGGAGATTCCTGACCAGAATATTGATGTGGAAGGTATGGCCTCCATAATTACAATGTACAAAGATCACAAAAACATAACCTTTTTATTCTTTTGATGAAAAACAAATATTCTAGCCCTTAGGCTAGGAACAAAGTTTCATTTTACACCTGAAGGTAGATTTTATATTAATTCACTCCATTATTTATCAGTTCTGTCCCTCTTGTTTATAGTTACATGAACCCAGTCTGTTTACATGTCTTGTGAGCCTGGGATATGAATGATGTAAGGAGAGGGAGTAAGAAGTTTGACCACTTTTTTTTAAAGAAAGTATGTACAGGGACTGGGGATGTAATTGTTAAGAGTGTTGCCTACCCTGCAGGAGGCCCTGGGTTTGATCCTAGAACCAAAAGTAAAAATAAATGTGTGAAGATCCTTTTGGGGACAGCACATGAATCATTTAGGCAGGGTTGTTTCAAAGCAGGGGGCTGGGGAGGTTAGGGATTGTGTTTGAGTCTCAGTACAGCCCAGTGAGCCTCCTGTAAACATCCTCTCCTGTTCATAGTCCACACCTCCTTCTTGTTTTATTTCACAGGCTTGGTGGAGGGCCCAGCTCCACTGCGTAGGCAGAGAGAAAACAGAGGTTTATAGAGCAAACTGTAAGGAACATCAGTGAATGGCACTGGAGGAGGGTGGCCAGACTCAGATGCCTGTAGGGATCAGACATGCATGTGGCAGGACATGGCTAGGAGCTTACCACACCTCAGTGGTGAAGCACTGAGTTAAGATTATCATGGTAATTGACCTGGTGGTGCATGTCTGTTACCCCAGCACTGAAGAAGCTAAGGCAAGAAGATTTCTGTGAGTTTGATGCCAGCTTAAACTATTCCTCCCCTAAAGAAAAGATTATCATGGAGTGATGGACTGTGTGTACCTACACTTTATAAGTGGTCTACTCAGCAATATCTTCTGGAACTTCTTCCAAGGAGGTCTTAATTCTGGCCATTAGAGAAGAATGCAGCTGGAATTGATAGACTAATTAAATCAGTTACTGTATCAATTCCATCAGGCAGTGACAGTCACTGCCATTTTAGTTAGTGATGCTTCCTTTACTCCTATGGACATACCTGATTTAGACCAAGGTCCTTGCTGCCTCTTGCAGTGTCTTACCCCTTTGGTAACATTTCATTTTACGTGTGTACTTTTGCTTTCAGCACTGCAAGTTGCCTTTGGATCTCTGTATCGAGATGATGTCTTGATAAAACCCAGTCAAGTTGTTGCCATTTTGGCAGCAGCTTGTATGTTGCAGTTGGTAAGTTGACATCTAAAATCATAGTGCTCTGTGTTTCTGTGCTTACCTCCAGAAACAAAAGTAAAGTTCAGCTTTTGCAATTTTTTTAAAAAATGAAGGTAAATGTACTGTTTGTTAGAAATAATATAAGCTGCTTAAACAAAACCTATTACAACTGGGGGCTCTGATATCTATGTGAAGTGGGGGAGACTTTCTGTGGAGCTGCTTTAGCTTGCTGAAATGTGGGAAAGTTGACTGTTGAGTGTGCTTGCAGATTTCTGTCATCAGTGACTTCACTGCTAAGCAGGTAGTTTGTGATCAGTTATTTAGTTTGTTTTTCAAAGAGACACTGAGTGCTGTTAATTTAAGCTTCTTAATTGTGAAGTCATGTGTAAACCGTATGTGTGCTTTTTAATCACTGGTAGAATGACATTCAATGAAAGTACAGTGAGCATGTTGAACAGTATGTCGTATGAGACATAGAGCCAGAGGCAAATGTAGATATAGTCCCTCACTTTTGTAGTTCATATGTGAAAGTTAATTAAATATGCCCCCTGCCTCAAAGTAGCTGACAGTATATTGAGGGTTGGGGTGAGAGGGTCAGTATACAAACCCAAAGATCAGAACAGAGCTGCCCAGTGTTGAGTGTGACATAAACATCTTGTGGGATTTAATGGACCCGTGAAGAAGGGACAAGCCACTCTAACCTGATGTCATCATAGACGGAAGTTAGTTTCTAAATTGGGTTTGAAAGTATGTTTATCTTGCACAGTGTGAAGAGAGGGGTAGGAAGAACATTTCAGACTGGGGACAGTAAGAAATGTGAGAGGAAGGAGGGTCAGAGGATTAAGAGGACCATGTCTTCAGCATCAGTACAAGAATTATAGGCCTGTCACGATAACTCAGTGAGTAAAGGCACCTGCCACCAAGCCTGCCAACCTGAGTTTGATTCCCAAGACACACATAGTAGGAGAGAACTGATTTCCTAAAAATTGTTCCCACATGGATGCAAAATAAACAAATAAATCAAATTTTAATTAAAAATAGATAAAAAGGTTTTCAAGAAAGAGCCCAAAAACCAGATCATGAAAGTTCCTCAGTGCATTGCAAAGCTTACTCTTTATTTACCTCTGGAAGATTTTAGTCAGGGAAAGATAGTTATGCTTTACAGAGACTACTCCAGGGGGTTGAGGGTACAACTCTCTGGTAGAGCACTTGCCTAATATGTGCAAAGCCCCAGGTTTGATTCTCAGCACTACACATTAACAATGAATATTTGAGGGACTGTGTGAAGGATGGGTTGATGAAAAGATGAGAATAGCTTTAGAGACAGAAACATACTATGGTCGGGTCATCCAGATGCTGTCTAGGTGAAGGTAGTACGGATAATCTACTGGAACCTGCAGGCTCTCCCCATCTTATCCACCCACTACTATATCAAAAGGGCATCACCACAAGCTTACTACTGCCAACACCACTGACTGTTGCCCCAAATGCACGGTCACTTCCCCAGCACCCCATTGATTCCTTGAAAAAACCCTGGGACTGGTAAGCTGGCTCCATGGTAAAGGTGCTTGCCGCCTCAAGCCTACGGATATGAGTTCGATCCCCAGGACCTATGTGCAGGTGGAGGGCAGATCCAATTCTGCAGTCTCTTCTGACCCCCACAAGTGCACCGTAGCACACGCACCCCCCCAATGATGACTGCCCTAGTTTATTCTTCATTGCTGTGACAAAACACTCTGACCACTATCAACTTGGGGAGGAAAGGGTTTATTCAGCTTACATCTCCTGGGTCACAGTTCATCTGGGGGCCCAAGGTAGGAACTCAGGACAGGAACCTGAAGCAGGAGCTGGAGCACAGGCCATGGAGGAACTTTGCTTACTGGCTTGCGCCCTTATCCAACACAGGCCCACCTGCCCAGGGGTGGCACTACCTACAGTGGGCTGGGCCTTCCCACATCACTCAACGATCAAGAAAATGCCCCATAGACATGGCCACAGGCCAGTCCAATGGAGGCAATTCTCCAGTTGAGGCTCCCTCAACCCAGGTGTGTCAAGTTGACACTAAAGCTATCCAGCACACTAACTTTGGTCCTTTTGGCTTCTTTCTAAATCTACTATCTGCCTTATCTTTAAAACTTACTATAATAATATAGTTGCATGAATATATTTCAGAAATGAATAAAAAAAAAGTATTTTTTCTATATATTGAAGGTAGTTCATTTGAAACCTGTATAAATGTTTTAGATTAAAATTTTAATGTAAGTTGTTTAAAACTGTACTATACTTGTTCTTGAGGCATGTTGATGGATCTTTTAAACGGTAATAAGCACTGTTCCATGCATTTGTATTATTTACTTATCTATATCACTTGATTAGCTGTGTAGAGTTCTTAATTTAATAAGAACAGGAAAAACAAAATGCTGCCAAAACAGTTTGCAGAGCTCCTAGAGCAGAAAAGAGAAAATGAGGTCTATGGTGCTCCTCCTCCCTGCCTCTTCCGCCATCTTCGTTTTCAGTTCTGTGTGTGTAGTGGATACTTGCTGAATGATTTTCTTTTCAGTATTTTTATTGAAAGAAAAAAACATAGGTTTGCTGCACTTAATGAGTTTCTTCCTTCCTGTTTTGTTTTTTTACTTTTTAATATGTGGAGGCACAGGTGAAAGCTAATTTTCCCACATGAAACGGGCCTTTCCAGTGCTTATTTATATTTACAGGATGGTTTAATCCACCAGTGTGGTGAGACAATGAAGGAAACAATTAATGTGAAAACTGTGTGTGGCTATTACACATCATCAGGGACCTATGGATTAGATTCTGTAAAGAAAAAGTGAGTTGCTTTTCCTATTTTTCTTTTATCCTACTTCTGGAATTTGGTTGCTTTGATTTCTTAAGAGAATGTAGTAAGAGACAATTATGAGGGAAGATAGAATAATAGCCCTTTTTTCTTTTGAACTAATTAATAAATTCCTCTGAAGCATTGGCCTGGTCAGTGATCACAGGTGGGTGAAATATCCTTATCAAACTGTGATCACTATTTTTTCATTTTATTTTATGTGTATGAGTGTATTGCCTGCATGTGTGTAAGTGATTTGCCTGAAACTGGAGTTGCAAATGATTGTTAACCCTCATGTGGATGCTGGGAATCGAACCTGGGTCCTCTGCAAGAGGAGCTGGTACTCTTAACCACTGAGTCATCTCTTCAGCTCCTGTGGTCACTATTTAAGGAGTAGGCAGCACAGATGTTACATTAGTGCAGATGCTGCAGTTTTAACTGTTTGAAATTGTAGATCTCATTTAGATGTTAAAAGAAGATTATAGAAATAAGTAATTCCTTATGAACTATTACATCATTGAAATGAAGTTTCTTAATTGGAAGTGGTATTATTAATATAAAGGAAATAGTCCCTTAACTACTGACAAGCAATACTAAGTTTCAAATCATTGAGATAAAAACTTGAGCATGGTTTAGTGCAATTAACACTCTGTTTTCATTTTAACTATAAGACCTACTTAATAAGTTCTAAATACCTAATATATACAAGATAATCACACTTTAATTTCAGGTGCCTAGAGTGGCTGCTAAACAACTTGATGACTCACCAGAGTGTTGAGCTTTTCAAAGAACTCAGGTATTTGGATTCCAAGTAACTTTATAGTTAATTGTCTTAAAATAATGTTTTTCATTTGTTCAAGTGTTCAAGATACTTTTGTAGAACACACAAACACAAAAGCAATTTAATGACAGGTACCTTGACTACATTCATGACTCAGATACATGCTGCACCTGCTTCTCTGTTGTTAGTGATCAAATTGATGTCTGTCGTTCGTACAGTTTAACAGAGTGCACTGCTGCTGTAAGACTGTTCCAAGTGTAAAGTGCTTCTCACTTCTACCAGGTTTCTGGAACATCTAAAAGTGATAGTTTGAAAATTATTATAGAGACACTATAGGGCTTTTGCTGTTTTTTATTGTTGTTGGGTTTGGGGTTTTGTTTTCTTGTTTTGGTTTTTGGGTAGTTTTTTTGGTTTTTGGTTTTTGGATTTTGTTTTTTTCGGTCTCTTTGAGACAGGGTCTTCCTGTAGCCCCAGCTGACCTGGAACTCATTATGTAGACTGGGCTGGCCTTGAACTTACAGAGATCCACCTCCTTAAAAGCATGTACCAGCACACCCAACATGTTTTACAGTTTTTACAGGCAGTAGATCTCAGCCAGGTAGAGGCACTTGCTTGCAGGCGTGTTGATGACCCGAGTTCTGTCCTCAGAGAACCAGTTTTTAAGAATTGTCCATTCACTTTGACATGTGCACTGATATTGCATGTACCTCTACTCACACACATCCACACAAAGTAAAATAAATGAAATTTTTAAAAATGTTTACCAACTGATGAAATTAAATTCACAGTTAAGTTGACCTTTTGAAGCTGTATCTTCTTACTTACACATTAACTCCCTTGCCCCCTCCCTTCCCTCCCCTCCCCTCCCCTCTCCTCTCCTCCCCCTTCTCTCCTTCCCTCTTTCCTTCCCCTCCCTACCTTCCAAGTGCTGGGATTAAAGGCATGTGCCACTATGCCCAGTTCCTCCCTTCCTCCTTTCCTTCCTTCCTTCCTTCCTTCCTTCCTTCCTTCCTTCCTTCCTTCCTTCCTTCTTCCATCCTTCCTGAATGTCCCTGGCATCAAAGATGTACTGTTCGGGGCTGTGAAGTGAAGGACTCAGAGATGGCTGTGCTATTTTATACTACCAGAGCTTGTCTGCAGCAGTGAGACCAATATACCATGATGGGTCTGCAAATTCTGGATGGAAACAAACTTTTTTAAAATTTATCTTTATTTTATGTGTTTGAGTGTTTTGGTTCATATATGTAAGTGCACCATGTCTGTACAATGCCCATGGAGAACAGAAGAGGGTGTCCTGTTCTCTGGAACCAGACTTACGGATGCTTGTTAGCCACCATATGGGTGCTGGCAACTGAACCTGGGTCCTCTGCACTTAACCACTGAGCCATCTCTCCGTACCCCCAAAATTGTGAAGGATTTGGGGCACAAGTGTCATGAGCGTGTAGTGTCTTGATGGAGGCATTTCACAGCTTCCAGCTGGGGGACAGGTTAGAGTTCTCATTGAACTTCTGAAGAAAGAAAGCTGGTCATAGTGGGATCATCTTTAAAATCTAGAAAAGCAGAAAAAGGGGAGAAATAGAGCCCATGGCCAGTGATAATCATTTCTAGTCTAAATTAGCCTGCATTTTTTCATTTTCCTTTAATAAAAACATATTTTCTGACTGTAGTTCTTTTAAATCTGGATATTGGGGCTGGAGGGATGACTCATGCAGACAATACACTCACACATAAAATAAAAAGAACAAATAAAATACTTAAGCCTGGATATTAAAGATTCCTTTAACCAAATATAGTGGCACATCTCTAATCTCAGCACTTGCAAGGCTGATACAGGACGGATAGCAAGTTTGGGGACAGGCTGGTCTATATAGCAATGTCCTGCGGGGGTGGGGTTGTGACCTTGAAGATCTAGCTGTTTTAGTGAATTTTAAGAAATGTTTCTTGGTTTTCATTTGTACATAGAAATGTGGGTAGGAAGGTAGAGGGGCTGCTGCTTTGACAAAGTCAGCAAGTCATCCTGTTTCACCTACAGTAAGGGGATCAGGCCTCTGTGTGCTGGCCCTTCCCAGCCTGGTGTCACAGTGAGAAGTATTGTGTTCAGATGGATTGTTAACTAAGGTGCTTTGTCTTGTTCAGATAGACTGCTGCCTTTTTTATCTCCATGTTTTCATTTGACAGAGAATTAAAGGTTTTAGGGCAGGTGGGATGGCTCAGCAGCACAAGCCTGATGACCTGAGTTCCATCTCCAGAACCATTGGTAGAAGGAGAGAACTAACTCACAATAGTTGTCCTCTTACCTCTACATGTGTACTGGGGCACATGTGTGTCTGTATTCACACACATATATCATACACAGATACACACTAAATTTTTTTAGAAGTTTATAGCTTACAAGAGTCCTTCAGCTATGTGAAGACAAGCTCACCCCTGTGCTTTATCTTTTCCAGTATAAACGTCATGAAACAGCTCATTGGTTCATCTAACCTATTTGTGATGCAAGTGGAGATGGATGTATATACAGCTCTTAAAAAGGTACCGATGTATACGTGCAGGTTATATTACTTGAGGTTGCTCACCGTGGTGAAAATCTGGTAGCAGTGCTTCTGAGTGTTAGAGACGGTGGAGGAACTACACAGCTGCTTGGCTCGCTGGGGTTCTGCTCAATAAACACGTCATCAACTGAAATACAGCTGTCAAGAAAGCATTTATTCCACCTGATTTCCTGAGCACCCTGCTCAGCCACACCCTTCTGGAACATGCTCAGAACACATACTTAGCCTGTAGTTGGCCACATCACCTAAGCCAATCCTGTTATATCATTAAGTGTTATACATCTTCTGTAATTTGTTATGTGCTGTCCTGAAGTAAAACAGTGTGGTCCATGGCACACTTCTGCACCATTGTGAAGTTGAACAACCTACATCAGTTTCCCAAACTATCTCAAGCTAGTGACCATATGCCAGAGCCGTACATATTTAGATTTAGTGATTCGTGACTCTTTTTCTTGAGGTAGGGCCTCACTCTGTAGCCCACACTGTCTTGGAAGACATTATGTAGCCCAGACTGACCTCAAAGCTTTTGAAGCAGTTCTTCTGCCTCAGCCTCCCGTTTCCTAAAACTACCAAGTCTAGCTTTATTTCATTCTTCTGATGGATTTTAGGTCTAATTTTATTTCATAGTTCAAAAAAATATCAATTGTTACTCTGCCTGTGGGTGAGGCTTAGAATCTATTAGAGCAGACTCTGTTCTCACCCCACCGTGCGTTGTCTGTGTCTGTGGAGTGCCGTCTGCCCTTGAGGCAGTTGTGAAGCTGCAGTGTAGTCTTTGGATAGTGTTTCTGCGGTAGAGATGAGGCGCCATTGCTAGTTTTTTTTCAAGGAAGCTTAGCATCTGACTGTTGAACTTTCTAAGAAGAGGGTGGAGGCATGTCCAAATCTCTGTGAGCTACCGTTGCTCTCGTCTGTCAGTGCAGCTGCCGTGATGCAGGACTGGTAAATGCTGGTGCTTGCATGGTGCTTACTGCCAGCACTGAGTTAAACATGGTGCACACGTTCCTTCAGTGATCTGCAAATGAAGAAATTAGGTGATGTGTTTAGCTTCTAAGTGACAGGTGGAGGATTGAAAGTCTGAGCTCTTAACTACTCTGTGCACTGCCTCCACAGCCCTGAGACAAAGGAAGTCCTTTTCCCGTATTAAATTTCTTTTACGATCTTACATAGTGTTTAGTGAGTAGAATAAATTGGTAGCTACTAATGTAGTAGTTAGGTTAAAGCTGTGCCTGTTTAATTCACTAAGGTGTGACCATTACTATTTTTCAGGGATTAGTGTGCTTCATGGTGCATATTTCCAGTTTTTAATCACTGGACCTCCATTTCCTGCCAT